AATCTTTTGTCAGTTCATATATATATATATATATGAACTGACAAAAGATTACCGGATACGCATGCCTGACGAGCGGCAAGAACAGCGAAACCAGTCGTGTGCTTCCGGGGGAATTTTGTCCAGTTATTCACATACTACTTATTATGAAATATATACGCAGAGAGATGGTGTTTTCCGTACGTCTTTCAATAAATGTGTGGAATAAAAGGTCAAAAAATGGGAAAACCCAACATTCGTACGAATCTTTAAGACTAAATATAGCAACCATGACACTTAGAATAACAAACCGCAATAAAATAACACAAGTAAAACGAAGGCAAGATTACCGAAGACGAAAGAGATCACCATGGTGGTAGGCAGCTCTGCTGTCGTCCGGTTCAATACCACGCCTAACCTATCGGTGTGGTTCGCCACTCCAAGTCCCGGGGCTTAGATTGCCGGTTTCCACCACTGAACAGCATGTCCTCGCAACTATGGGGTTCGCCCCGTCTGCTGATCATCACAGTTACAGTAGGTGTGTAATAAAAAATAGGGGTGGGAGGTAGGTTACCAAAACTGAGTTATTGTGGCGAACCATTCAAGCAGTTAATATAGACATGACTTGTGACTGGCTATATAGTGGATTAGAAAAGCAGATAAGGTTGTTGTTCCTAACCCAACCTGGAAGCCTGATTGATTGCGGACGATGATTGGGCTCGGCATTTTCCCCTCCTCCCACAGCTTTCGTTATTCACCCCGATTGTAAACTCTATGCTCCGCGTGTTTTCAGTAACCTTTTCTGATTGCATCACAAACAGCTGAATACTCACTGCGTGAGGGTGTATAAAACAGTTACTTCATTTTCTGCGATTGATCACAAAACAACCTCAACGTCGTTTATTTCTTTCAAACTCACAACGAAGTCATAAGAGATAGTCATAGATCGGGTAGCTTAAATGTGAGAGTGGCACAGTGTGACACACACACACACACACTCACCGCTCTGGTAACGGGACTTGAGAACATCCGGTGGAATGGCAACAAGCCAGTTGAATATACCAGCAATACCACCAGCGAAAAGGGTTTTACCAACACTCAGTTCGTCACCACTGAAATCAGAAACAAAAGGAAGCTGTGCGCATAGAACATTTTGCAATACAAAAAGCGAAATGCAAACTTACTGGAAGTGATCGCATTCGTAAGAAAAATAATAATTGACAAATCATGTGACTACCGACTGAATCGCATTGGTAGGCTTACAATGCCGGGTTGACGTCGAAAAACTGATACAACTGTGCGTTGGAAATGCTACGTAAATCGATCAACTGCGGCGGATAGTGGAGTTCTTCATTGATTCATTTCCCTGCACAGTCTACGTATAACTATTTTATCTGTAGTAATCCGAATAAGGTCTATGGCCTACTGAATCTGTTTTCAACCCGTTTTACTAAGGGACAGTAGCCAAAACAACAAAAACAAGTGCGAGGTTAATGGTTGTCGAAGCTGAAACCGAAAACCCTCAATATTAAACGAAACTTCTTCTAAGCTGTTTTTGGGAAAACTGTGATGTCACATTTTGTTAAGAAGATAGAATATTCTCAAGTCAGAGTAAACACACTACAGAAAATGTGACTTCAAAGATCATTTTATAAATCATATTACTTCATATGCGTCTGAGTCCGAATAAAGCACAGTGCAATAATTTTTATAACAAGGAAAAAAGTCAGTAGTGACACTCTAAATGAATTGAAATGAGCATACAGGTGACCGAGTGCTATTGAAAAAGAATATCCACACTCACAAGGTCTGGGATAAAAAAACTGACTGTACACTTGCTTAGGATCGCCAAATTTTCGTCAATTGTAGAACAATCGAAAGAAACTAGGAGGCGTGAAATACAAATTTAGGGGTCCCACTTTACAGTAAAAGAACCGAATCATGCATTCACTGTTACAGCGATACCAAGTACGTCCCATTAGAACCCGACAACTGACAAATCATGCCGGGTTCCTTGTTGTCAAGTAGTAACAGAACTCAAAAAATTTCAATTAAACAAGATACCTGGGCTTAACGAAATTAAACGATTAAACGTTAAAAAATATGCCGCTGAGCTAGCTATTCCACTCTCTTCGTTGTCCAATGAATGGATTCATGAACAGAGAATAGTATACGGTTGGAAGACTGTGTGCATTACTCCTTTCCACAAAAAGGAATTAGGCAAAGTTCGATTCAACGCCTTTAAATCTATTTCACTTGAAACTCAAACTTATTGGACCCTTTATGGGCACGCTAATTTTTTTACGATAATAACCAGTTTGTGTACAGACACAAACGGTCTACTTTGGACGCTAATATCCATCTCATTCACTCAGTTTTGTACACTGTTGATTTCTCGGGAAAGGGATTTAGTACTTATTTCCTTGCCTATACCAATGACTTTAACGGTATTAATGGATTCCAGCTACTCTCCTCACTACATGGTGTGGGACTACTCGCACTATTACTAGCATGGATTATGGTCTACTTTATTGGCAGATTTCAGTTCATCTCTTACAAAGGTTTGATCCACATTCAGCGAATTCTGCGGCGATGCAGAACACCATTTTATCCCCCTTCATGCTCTTTCTTTAGATTAGGAAGTTACTAACCATTACAAATTTAATGATTAAATATACCTATGGCGTCACAGTTGGTTCTAAGTCAGACGCAAATTTTCCATTGGTGGTTTTTCTTAGTTTTCCACCGGCGTTTTTAAATGGCTGAAAATTCTATCCTCGTTTATTCAGGATTAAGGGGCCTGGCGAAAGGGGATGCAAGCGTTCAGAGTTGCGTTTTGATGATCGGTGCGGTCCTATAGTTCGGAGTGACTTACCTTGGCGCTACTTTACCCCAAGCTCTTACGTGCCCTTCGCATATTGAAACATTTTTCGAAAAATACAGCGACTATTTTTCACGTGTCAAAACTAAGATGCCTGCATGTTTCTCAATCTGTCTTGACTCGATTTTTACACACTTGCGATTTATGGCATTCGCCATACAGTTCCCGTTTTTTTTTGACGATTTGTGTCCTGAGGACTACCGAATCGCTTGTAGATCATTAAAGACAATCTCACACGTCAGTGGAATTCCACATCCGAGTCCAGTTGGGTTTATTGTCAAGAAACACTTCAATTCCCGTAAGTATTTGTCACAATATTTTGCCCGAAAGCAAACACCCACTTAATCCCGCATCGAGTGAATGTCTATCTACTTCAAAAACAAAAAAAACACAAGATTAAATATTCATGAACAAATGCTTACCGTCAGTTTGTTGTACCTTACTAAGTCAAGTGTTCAGCGCCGTAGATCTCACTATAAACGCTGGGTTTACAAGGATACCCAGCGAACTATAAATGTTTTCCCTATCGAACCGATGTACGTTATTTTGATTACAGTTTTCTTTTAACATTGCGCTTGATAGTGCAATTTTTCGTTGAACACAATGCAGCAAAACCATCCATCTGTTTGGGAGTGAATGAACCAATTATGTGACTTGACATAGACGTGTTTGCACTGACTATGAATAAAATACCTGGATGAATGACAGGGATTAAATCAATGTTACGTCACCACCAAACATACATGTAACATTCAATAATTGCATAGACTTACGATCCGCTCCGTTTCTTAAGTGTATCCTTGATCCATTCGTAGCTCAGGAAGTAGGCTCCAGAGGCCGGGACGTCTGTAACAAGATGCGTTGTGAAGTAAATATTGTTTCCATGTTAAACACCAAATAATGTCACTGAAAAGAATTCAGTAGTTTAAGTTAAAGGACTCGAGTGAGACCAAGCCAATGATAGAGATTAGTGCAGGGTCTCTTCTATTTGTCCTTAGCGAGTTTATATGATATCGATGAAACAGACACCAGAAGAGAATGCCAAAACAGTGCTGAAAATAATCTTTCATATACCTTCTAAGGCAAAGATATGCGGTTTAGTGCTTTACTGGGGTGTTGAAGTGGTATCTCCGAAATGGGATAGGAGTCAGTTTAGGGATAAGTCCCGGATTCGAACCGCTCCACCCCCGCCCGACTTCCCAGGCAGCTTTTGTGTGGCCGCGGCCCCCCTTCCTGAATGTTGACTGTACATTTATATACTCAATAAATAAAAAGGAAGTAAAAAGACACCTATTTATGGTATCATAAGACAAAAAACTCTCGGGTAGGTACTCGAAAAAAGGACGAAACTAATAAAGGAACGTCACCGTTTACGCAACTGTGGGTAGCTTGAGTATGTATATCAAGCTGCCGAGTTCATGCAGGACTCATTGCTGGAGTATAGTGGACAAGAAGCCTTGATAAGCGGCAATAACTACAAAGGAATCAGCTGAACTTAGTGGCAAACAAATCAGAAAATTAAGACGTCTCTAAAATTCACAAATGGATTATCCATGAGCTCGTCTGAAAATTACTCTCGGCGACACAAATATGATAACTCTAGCTTCCATTTGCCATTGAGCTGTTTGAAGTTCCAGTTAATGATAGCATCTCTAGCTGAGGAACTTGCTCAGCTTGCGCAGAATGACCTTTTCTGATGTACACTACTTACCCAACTCTTACTTGTGGCTTAGAGGTTGTCTGTATGTACCGCAACGGCCACACCCTAGTAATCGAATGGTAGATGGGCAAAAAAGATTACCAGTTGGAGGGCAGCTATAACCGACAAATCAGATGATAGATGAGTTAAACTAGGATGACGGTAGCCGAAACAGTTGAAGGTGCTTCAGCAAGAAAGTACTCTTAGAGCACTGCAGTACAATTCACAGCCCCGTACTTTGTTTTGCAAAGCTCAGATGTGAATTCCCGAAAGACAAGTTCGAACGGTGCTGAGGTAGCATTTCCGTGGTCCTCCCACTGGCTGCTGGAAGCCAGGTCCAGAAACGAGACATCCTTTGCACCGCAGGAAAGTGTCTGCACAACATTCTCAAATGAGTTCTCTCGACACTTTCTAGAGAAGCTTAATCATTGCAAACGGTTCGAGAACGACAGTCGATTACTTTACGGTCTAATCAAAATAGTTTCCCGTGATACGGGAATTCCGCATCCCGAGGTAATTACCGCAATTGTACTTAAAAGATTGTCGTACTTCGCAACCAATTGGTTAAATTTTGGTGCAACCCGAAGGATCCCCTTTGGTTTCAGATTGCAGAGCGCATCATTGAGGTGTAACAGGCACCAAGAGCAGCTTTGGCTTCAAGATTTAATTGTCTTATGGTCGCAGAATCTATTCGACTTATTTCGTGAAAATAAAATCAATTACCCTCAGCGAATATAAGTGAATCTGGAATATATATATATATATATATATATATATATATACATATTCGGGAACAGAAATTCATTAACCACCTAAAGTTTTAGCTTTGGTTCTTACAACCATCAACCATGTACTTTCGTGCGGCGGTTTGAATGCTGTCTTTTAGTTGCCCGTTTGGGTAAAACAGTAAAAAGATTGGAGCGTTGAGAGCAGTGTCAAAAAAAAAAAAAGAACTCGGGCAAACTGCAGTTACATGAGCGCCACTGTTTGTGACATTTAACCATGTCAGTCAATGTCTCTAACTATCGGTCATAATAACCCTAGGTTCACGTCCAAGGGGACCATCACTACGAGACTAAATCTTGACGTGGTGTGATGGCTTGTGCACCAAGAGATCTTATCATGCCTGGAAGGTCAACGGGTAGAGGTCAGACGAAGATCAGTCTCTTGGTCCTCCAGGCTGGGGGTTCGCCTGGAATTTGGCGTTTCAGTCGATAAAAAGCGGTGGAGGAGTAATCGATCCAAGTAAATGGGCCTCCACTTCGCCTCACCCGCTACCTTGCGGTTAGGTTCTTGTTAGAACTAAAGACTTTGGACGAGAACCCTAATCGTTCTCCTGCTTAATGGCTGGACACCCTAGCAGTACCCGTCCACCAAACCCCAATGCATATACAAAATAAAAATAATTTCATACTGCATCGGTCGTCGCGCAGGATAATCGAGCGTCGAGCGGGGTGGGTAGTGATAAGTGGGCTACTACTCAGATATCCCAAACTTTGTTTAACTCTTTGTCTTCCGTTCCCAACCCTATTCCTTTACCCCTTCTACCGACCGGTAATAGTACCTCAAGCAACTTGGATGTCGCTCGCCAAAGGTCATTGCTAAATAGCACTCTAAGTGATTTACCACGAAATGGCTCGCAGATTATAAAGCCTCGTCAATCACTGAATCTGGGGGCCTTCAATGTGAGGACTTTGATGCAGCTGGGTCAACAAGCTTGTCTGGCTCGTACAATGGAATCCTTA